TCTGTCGCCAGCCACACCCTTCCCCACCTGCTGCTTCCTTGCCGCCAACTCCAGCACTCCCTGCTGTTCTTCCTCTGTCACCAGCCCCACCTTTTTCCCTTGCAGAAAGTTTAATAAATTGCTGAGTTTGCGTCGAAGCATAGAATCCTATCATATATTTTATCATTGAAAAGTGGGCACTAGGCTAGTTAGAAATTTTTCTTGGGTAGAAGATCATATAGAAATTTAAACTCGCACAGGGACCAAGCCAATTATTTTTTGCTGAGGAAATAACGGGCTCATCAACTTCTTGATTTTATTGTTAATAAAAAATTTATTCTTGTCGATGGATAACAATTGCCGTAGACTCATTATGAACTGCTGTATCACCTTGCCTCTGCAATACATAAATATAAAGGTTGTTACGTTATGATGCATTTATCTCTTTGTTTTCATTTTTCTGCAAGGGAGGAGGGGTCAGTTGAAAAAAAGTAAGCCATTTTCAAATTGATTACTGATTAAGCTATTGAAGCTCAAGCTCTACCTGCAAACTATTCTAAAATGGAACCTTTGAAGCATTTTGCTTCATTTATGGAATCATTTATGTTAGGCATCCATTCTTAAATACTTCACTTTATTTTCATTCGAGATAATGGATGTGGTATTATTATTGTTTTTTCAGTTTTGTGTCCCAATGAATATAAAAAATACTCTTTCCTTTTTTTCATTTTATAGGTATGATGAAGAATTTTAAAGAATGGCTTTCTTACCAGTCTGTATCTAAGTCATTGCTCTCCGCAAGGCCATTCAGCTTCTTTTATGATGAATCATCAGAAAGAGAGTGTTGTCACCATGGTATTGTGTTCAATTTGTTTCTCATAATTCCATACCCATGGATGAATTAGGTTATTATATTTTCTTATCAATTTTTATTCTATGCTGTTGTTGGCATTTTATCGTTAATTCACCATTATTTATTGCTTGTTTGGCTATATTGTCTATTCACATGATCATTCCTAGTTGTCTGACCTGTCGAATTTTACAAGCAGTACAATTGCGAAGGGTTCACACATGTAACATTCAATTATATCTGGAGTAGTCAATATGGCTGTGAAGTTATTCATGACAAAATGCTAAAACTGTTCTCTTGAGGATTCTCTTAGCCGTATTTTGCACCATCTTTATTGGTGAAAATGAGAAGTGCAAAAGCAAGGAGAAGCCTGTGTTACTCCAACTAAACTGGCTGGTATAGGTTTGTTCTATCGTTAATTCAAGTCTGTTCAACTGTTGAAACTGGAAATGAGATAATTGTATGGATTATTTATTTTAAGATACTGAGTGATCTAAACTTAGCGGCCCACTGATTTGGATGTATGCTTTGTTGCAATATAATGGAACTCTATTAGTATATATGCTCATACAGTAGTTTAACATTTGAGGATCACATTTAAATTCTTCATAAACAATAAATGTTAATTTACATGGTTCTAGAATTGATCCAACTTGCCATGTTTACAGCCCTATCAATGTTAGTGATGGTGGTTAGAGGGCTTTTTTGTGCAATTAATGGATTGCAATGAATATAGGGTTTTCATTTAATATCGTTCAATGTAATTTAAAGTTTTTTTTAGAAAGTCGAGGGATTATAAATTTTTGGTAAAAGGAATGTCAAGACTAGCTTTGTTTAAGGTTGATCTGGAAGATCAGTTAAAGGAATAAATGTTAAATGATTTAAATGGCTCTAGAATTTATGGTGGATGACTAACTTAGGATATTAACTTGTGATTGGAATAAATGGTAGAAAATTGAGGCCATTAGATGGTTTTGGTGGAAGGAAGACCATGGCTAATTCAAATTGGGTTAGACTAATTTGAAAGATCTTCTTAAACAAAGGTTAAGTAGTCTAAATGAAAAGAATTTATTTTTGGATGTAAATTTATGATCTTGAAAAGTTTGTAGAGTTTGGTTGGGGGTTAGGGCTTTTATAGTGGTATGGAGAATAAAATTTAGTAGTTTTCCTCCTTGGCTTGATCGTAAGTTATAAAAAAGGTTTTGAATTGGGTTTGAAAGTTTGAGTGGTGGATGGCTGTTAAAGCTAAGTTAGTTTGTTCAATAAGTCATTAGCGTGACCAGAAAATAGGTTTGAGAGGGTTCAATGATGGTGCTCACAATAATTACTGCAAAGGAAAGGCCAAACTTGGCCACCAAACAATACAAAGAGGAAAAAAAAAACTCCAAAAGAAAATTTTCTTTTAATTTGTAATAATTGAATATTTTTCATTAGATACTGGTTATATTTATTGGGATTATATTGATTACAAAGGGAAAATTTTTGAAGGGAAGTATGTGTGACCATTTAATGAAGGGAGATATCAACTGCCATATTAAAATCATTTTATATTTCACTTTTTAATTAAATGGCTAGCCCATTCATATTTTTTAAATTGAAAGATTCTCCTAAAACCCAAATTTGAAATTTAGAAAGTAAAATGTAAAATTCAATAATTTCTTTTTGATTGAGCTATTGTAGTTTTCATTGGCTTTTGTGTTTGAATTTTGGGCTTCATTTGCTTGGTCCACATGATGCGTTACATTAACTCTCTCTGGCTCATTTGAAAATCGCTCTACTTAGTTAAATTTTATTTAGTTTTTTACTAACTGAGGAGTAAGAGCGTCTAAAGTAAAACATGCATCTTTTGGTGGTGGCTTTGTTCTTTCTACAAAATAATTCTGTGATCACCAAAAGGGTTTGTGGGAACTTCCTTTATAATAGTATAGTCAATATCTAAGAAAGTGGGCGGTGGGGATTCCATAAAGATTTCCTACTAGAGTTAGTTGAACAAGTGGAGATTTGTTAACTTTTTTATATAATGTAGTATATTCAATATTACTAACATGATGAATAGGCATATCATAGACAAATCAACATGATAAGTTTTAGTTTCAAATTTTATAAGAATTTTGAAGGGATTACATTTCCTTACATGAGTTTCTTATATTTTGCAAATCAAGATAACAAAATTTAGTTTCAATTTTTATAAGAATTTTGAAGGAACTACATTTCTTTACATGTATTTTTTTATATCTTGCATGGATGTGAATTAAAACATTGTCGTCTTCTTTACATTCCACTGTTTAAAAATTATATATTGCATTAAAAGCATATTTTTTATCACTTAGAGAAATTTCCTTTGTTATTATTTCATGGAAGCTTTGCAAGCCTTGTTAACTGAGAATGCCACATTAGAAAATGTATGGGATGGCAAATTTGCTGTATCATTTGGGTATATTGAGTATTTGACTTAAGTAATCTCAAATTGTAATTTATTTATAGTTCTAGAGATGCTATTATTGTAAGCAAGCTCTGAGATAGGCAATTGCAAATTCTTCGCCTACCAGACATCTAAGCATGCTCTTTAAGTTATGGTTAACTACTTTAGTTTTTTTATCAATTTAGGGATGGAAGGAAGAATAAATTTT